AGTGAAATCAAGCTATTTTGATCTATCTCTGATTTGGACTTTAGCAAATGTTTTTCTTACAAGAAAATTATCTATTTCATTCAGATTTTCTAATTTGTTTGCAGACTTAAACAAAGTAGTCTTATGATTTTTACAATTTCCCTCTTTCCAAGGTGACTTCCCTTATTATGTGTTATTTGTCCATCCTGATTCATTTATTTATTCAGACTTTTTTGTAAAATAGTTTCCTCAAACAGGTCCCTGGGTGATATGTTCTCTGATCTCTGTATATCGTCTCTGGAAAGAAGCAATATGGTAGGGAATGGGACTCTTGGGTCTCAGACTGGCTGTCCTTTTTGCCTATACTCTAGATATTCTGTAGATGTTATTCCATAAGCTTTTCCTTTCCATATAAGAAGTCCAATATGTTTTCCTTTGAAAATACCTTCTACTTTCTGTCTGGAAAATTCTAAAATTCTTCTTTTACTCTTGGAGTTCAGGATTGATATCACAATTACCTAATACAATGAGCCCTTCAATCTGCAAAATACTTTATTCATTTAGCTCAAGAGAATTTGTGTTTTCTTTTTATTTATTATGGCTCCTCTTCTTCTTTCAAGAATGCCTACTATTTAGATCTCTTGGATGAGTCCTTCAAAGCCATTATGTTTTCTTCATACTTTCCAAATCTCTATAATATTGTTCTTTTTTGAGATATTTCTTTCAAACCGCCTTCTAAGACATTAATCCCCCCTCACCAGGGACCATCTTCTCAATTTATCTCAAACAGCTTTTATTAAAATCTATGGGTTTTATTTATTTATTTGACAGAGAGAGAGCGAGAGCAGAAACAGAAGCAGGGGGAGTGTGAGAAGGAAGCAGGCCTCCTGCAGAGCAGGGAGCCCGATGCGGGGCTCGATCCCAGGACCCCGGGATCATGACCTGAGCCAAAGGCAGATGCTTAATGACTGAGCCACTCGGGTGCCCCAAAATCTATGGGTTTTAGTACAAGGAAAGTTTTTGTGCTCTAATCAAATATACTTAAGTGTTTATGTGTGTGTGTGTGTGTGTGTGTATTTCTTAAGTGTTCCTATATTTTTAGTGAGGGTGGGAAATGAAGAGTACAAACTATTGTCCGCTTCCTCCACCAGTTCTTTTCACTAGGGGCCACCTACTTTGGCTGTTCTGCTTATTTTTCTTCTCTAGGACTATCAGATTCTGTTACAAGCATTGTTGTTTTTTCCTACATACACCTTGGGATTTGGGCCCAGCTGCCAGAGAACCATAAATAGAAACCCTTTTCTAGGGGAAAAGTATGGTGAGCTCCTGTTGTCATTCTTCTGCTGATACACCAGGAGGTAGTCTCTTTCTCTGAGACAGCCTACCTTTTTAACTGTCCCACCTCTCCTTAAAGGACTGAAAAAACAATTCCTCCAAATAGTCACACAGGTGTTAGTACCCTTTATTTAATAGGCTCCAAATAGTCACACAGGTGTTAGTGCCCTTTATTTAATAGGCTCCAAATAGTCACACAGGTGTTAGTGCCCTTTATTTAATAGGCCCAAAGAGCACTTGTACCCAGCTTTCTTCCTTAATCTCATCATTCCAATCACCGTTCAAGAACTCCATGCCACTAGTTTCCAGGTTCTCTCTAGTTCTGGGGCGGGGTGCAGAAACCCCAGGACAGCATTGTTCCCTAGATCCAGACAGAGCTGAGACCTCACATTCCGCAGATCCTACTTCATGTGGGATTTTGAACTGGAAGTGGAACGGAGACCACCAGGGTTGCATTTAAGCTGTTCTGTTGCCACTAGGCATTTTCCCACAAAGAGGAGGTTCTCATTCTAAAACCTGTAAATGGGATCCAGGGGGATCCATGATCCTCTGAAATTACCGTCAAATTATGTTTATTTATGTATTTATCTATCTACACATATATATGTATATGTTTCTGTGGAGTTTTTTAGAAAGTTTTTTTTTTAAAGAACTTACTTTGTTTAGAGCAGTTTTAGTTTCACAGCAAAATTAAGAGGAAGATACAGAGACTCCCCATATGGCCCTGCCACTACACATGCACAGCCTCCATTATCAACAGCCCCCACCTGACTGGTACACTTGTTACACCTGATGAACCTACATGGACACGTCATAATCACCCCAAGTCCAGAGTTTACCTTAGGATTCACTCTTGGTGTTGTGCATTCTGTGGATGTGGACAAATGTATAATGACATGTATCCACCATTATAGTATCATACACAGTATTTTCACTGCCCTAAAGGTCCTCTATGCTCTGCCTATTCATCCCTCCCCACCCCCAACCCCTGGCAATCACTGATCTTTTCATTGTCTCCATAGTTTTGCCTTTTCTAAAATGTCACATAGTTGGAATCATACAGGATGTGGCCTTCTCAGACTGGCTTCTTTAACTTAATAATATGCATATAAGTTTCCTCCATGTCTTTTCCTGGCTTGACAGCGCATTTCCTTTTGGTACTGAGTAATATTCAATTGTCTAAAGGTACCACAGTTTATTTATCCATTCACCTACCAAAGGACAGACGCTTTGGTTGCTTCCAAGTTCAGACAATTATGAGTATATCTTCTCTAAACATCTGTATGCAGGTTTTTGTATGATTAAAAATTTTCAACTCCTTTGGGTAAATACAGTGGAGCACAACTGATTACTTGATCACATGGTAAGAGTATGTTTAGTTTTTTAAGAAACCACAAAACTGTCTTCCTTAGTGGCTGTACCATTTTAATTCCCACTAGCAATGAATGAGAGTACCTGTTGCTTCACATCCTCACCAGCATTTGGTGGTGTTAGTATTCCAGACTTTTACCATTCCTACAGACGTGTAGTAGTATCTTACTATTGTTTTGATTTGCATGTCCCTGAAAATATATAATATTGAGCATCTTTTCATATGCTTATTTTCCATTTGTATATGTTCTTTGGTGAGGTGTCTTTGGCCCATTTTTTAATCAAGTTGTTTGTTTTCTTACTGCTGAGTTTTAAGTGCTCTTTGTATATTTTGGATAACAGTCCTTTATCAAATATGTTTTTTACAAATATTTTTCACCTAGTCTGTGGCTTGTCTTCTCAGTCTCTTGAGTTCAGAAGTTTTTATCAGAGTCTCAAAATGATGTTAAGAATCACAGTTTTCTAAACCCATACCTGAATCTGGTACAAATCCCCAATAAGTCAATATGTCAATAAGATGTAGATCACTCTAACTCCAGTAAGTAAAGAGGGTCTTAACAGCCCCTCTGACACTGGGAATTATTGTTAAAAGTAAATACTGTCTATTTCTATGTCTGCACTTGGAAGATTACCCTTTGAAGAAAAGGCAAGTTCTTGGACCTAGAAGGAAATGGTTTAAAGAGAAATAAAACAAGATATATTGAAACGTACTACAGTAAATAATAACTTCCATAGGGTGGCAAAAGTAACAAATGTAAAACAGTTGTGGGTTCAGTGAGTTCAGGAATAAGAATTCAAAAAAGAGCTTTTTGAAGAGAAGTTAGAGAATTTTAAAGTAATAAAGTTAAGACAGGTTTATTTTCCCCTCAAAAAAAAAAACAAAAGCCTAAAATTTCTTACATTCCTGCAGTGATATGTTAATGGTGATCCTTTGGCCCTTGGCACTCCACTTCTAAATTTTAAATACGTTGGTTTTTTTAAATCTCTTTAAAAATATACTACCGACTTTAATCAAAAGTAGGTCAGCATAATGTTTACTACATTATGTTTGAAACACAAGCCCTAGTAATTCTAATGGAAAAAAAAAGATTTGATGCTTTTTTTATTTGAGGTGAATATAAATAGAAAATGAACTTAAAAATATCTTCTTTGTCTCTACCAGGTAGGAAGAGAAAAATATACCCTTCCATACGCCTTAAATGGCTTTTAGTTTTTAAAATATATCCATACATTGTTTTTATACAAGTTAGTCTTTTATATGACCGTAACCCAGCTAAACCATTGGCAAGTGGGAGCAGAAGGGAAAGGTTAGAACTTTCTAATGCAATCTACAATTCTCTACACATTCCCCTTAAATTAACAAAAGCTCACCCTCATAAATATTAAGCTATAAAAGTATTATCAAGAATTCATATAGTTCTTTTACCCTTATTGCAGTGAGCAAGCATAATGTATAGAATTATTGATCACTTAAAACTAATGTAATATTGTATATGAACTATACTTCAACTTAAAAATTTAATCAAAAAATTCATATAGTTCTTAATTTTTCACCTATATATTAGAGATGGTAAAAATACATGAATGGAAGCTTGCCTAATTTTCTAAAACAAAATGTGTATTTCTTTTTTTAAATGTCTTGAAATGGGTATGTACAAATTTGGTCTTTCATTATACTCCATCCTTTTACCCTTCCTGTTTCCCTTTTAATAAATATGTGCTCAGTGATTATTACTTATCGTTGTTAAATGATGCATAATTAAAATCTATGCTCAGGTACTAAAATCCAACTATCCTATTATCTTTTTTTTTTTTTTAATTTACTTTAGAGAGAGAAAATGCACGCAAGCAGGGGGAGGGGCAGGGGGAAAGAATCCTAAGCAGACACCCCACTCAGTGCGGGGCCAAATGTGGCATTCTATCCCAACACTGAGATCATGACCTAAGCCAAAATCAAGAGTCAGCTGCTTAACCAACTGAGCCACCCCAGGCACCTCTAGCTATCCAGTTATCTAACCAAAGAGTTCCTATTAGTAGATGCAAAGAAAATAAATATAGAGCAGTGATAACAGATATCACTGAATGATCACAGAGTTTATGTCCGCAAAGCCAGATGCATCCATCTTATCACTGCGGCCACAATCAACCCGTCAGGAATAGTGCTCATTGTGAGACCCATATGCCATCCTGATTTAAAGCATTGCTGTCTTACCACCACTTGCTGGGAATTTCCTCTCTAGCTCCCAGGCTGTCTTCAAAATGAATTTCTATACCAAAGAAACTCTGTTTAACTATGCTATATTTCTTGGTTTCAGATGGCTATACCACTGATGACATTGAGTTTTACTGGAACGGAGGAGAGGGGGCAGTAACTGGAGTTAATAAAATTGAGCTTCCTCAGTTTTCAATTGTCGACTACAAGATGGTGTCCAAGAAAGTGGAGTTCACAACTGGTGAGGACATTTCCTCCAAAATGAACTAGGGGCACTGTGAAAGAAAGAAGATGATTCCTACCAAATGGAGATCTGATTTTTTTTTCTTTTTTCTTTTTTCTTTTTTCTTTTTTTTTTAACTCAGGGGCTTATCCACGACTGTCACTAAGTTTTCGTCTAAAGAGAAACATTGGTTACTTCATTTTGCAAACCTACATGCCTTCCACACTGATTACAATTCTGTCCTGGGTGTCTTTTTGGATCAACTATGATGCATCTGCAGCCAGAGTTGCACTAGGTAATGCATTCCCAGCACTGCAGAGAGCTGGTAGGACTTCACTTCAACCAACCAACCAATGTTAGAAATTATAGGCACGGACTTCTCTCAAAGCAAGTTAAAGAATGAGATTACCATAGCAGTCCTTGATACTAAAGCATCTAAGTGTAAGCATTTTCAGGATGAATGTTTTACAATGCAATATCTTTTTAGCATTTTACAAAAACAAAAACATGGACTATATTCAATACTGACTATATAAGTGCTTCTTAGAGTCTACTTTTAAATTCTCATTACACTAATTTTTACTAACTTTGTGATGATTTCCTCTCTGGTCCCTGCTTTTTACAGTGAAGAACATTTATAATTCATTATTCTCAAAAGGATTTGGAAAAGCTAAATCTGTGACTATTAACAAGTTATGTCAATGGTTGGGCAATACTATCTTTCTTCTTTTTTTTTAATTATGTTATGTTAGTCACCATACATTACATCATTAGTTTTTGATGTAGTGTTCCATGATTCATTGTTTGCGTATAACACCCAGTGCTCCATGCAGAACGTGCCCTCTTTAATACCCATCACCAGGCTAACCCATCCCCCCACCCCCTCCCCTCTAGAACCCTCAGTTTGTTTCTCAGAGTCCATAGTCTCTCATAGTTCGTCTCCCCCTCCGATTTCCCCCCCTTCATTTTTCCCTTCCTGCTATCTTCTTCTTCTTTTTTTTTTTTAACATATAATGTATTATTTGTTGTAGAGGTACAGGTCTGTGATTCAACAGTCTTACACAATTCACAGCGCTCACCATAGCACATACCCTCCCCAATGTCTATCACCCAGCCACCCCATCCCTCCCACCCCCCACCACTCCAGCAACTCTCAGTTTGTTTCCTGAGATTAAGAATTCCTAATACCAGCGAGGTCATATGATACATGTCTTTCTCTGATTGACTTATTTCACTCAGCATAACACCCTCCAGTTCCATCCACGTCGTTGCAAATGGCAAGATTTCATTCCTTTTGATGGCTGCCTAATATTCCATTAAAGTTAAATCATACGGAACTGAGTTTCTCTTAAATGTAGCTCATCACACCTGAATAAGGCACAGACATTCATCAGCTATATTAATGATCTGTGATCAGGATGGAATAAAAAATGGTTTCCTTCTTTAGGGAACAAAATTCAAAATTAATCTTGCCATGTTTGAGTAATTGCTGCAAGCTGAAAGGCTATATTTGAGACTTTAAAGGGTTCCTTGGAAAGTCAAAATATGAAAGGTCTGTTTGATGAATCTGAGCGTGTGTGGGTCTGCCTCATTATTTGATCCTAGAGCCCTTTCAGTTATCACTTTTTGGGGCTTTTTCTCATACGTGGGTGCTCATGAGCGCAAGTGTGCACACGCACATTCCAAATATGTAACAGCATCATTTCCAGCTAAGCTGACATATACATCACTTCTTTTGAGATTGCCGAACTGGGTCGGATGCTCAGCATACCCTTTCACACCTAGACTAATTGTCATCCCTATAGCTTATTTCTAGTGGCTGAGTAATTTCTAATGGCTCACAAAGTCAGCCCTTCTTAACCTTTGAACGTTCCAAAACTAAGGAAAGCCAACAAATAGTTTATCACATCATAGGTATGATTCTGCATGTATTATTTAACTGCAAACATGAGTACAGGTATGCTAGGGTTAAGGAAAAAACCGTGGCTGTTGTCCACAGCAGGGAATAATAACTATCAAGGTCATGAATTGTGGTTCTCTGTACACATCTATCCTCAAAGCTAATGATATTTTGATCAGAGATGTCAGCACATAAAAATGCTGATTTAATCTTTTCTTTGAGATGTAAAATCGGGGCTATTTTAAAACTTAACTAAGTAAAAAAGGCATTTGTTTACTAACCCTTCTTGCCTAAAAATTTAAACCAAGGAGTAGAAAGAGACGTGCGATTAGTGGATTTGTAAATGAACTGTCTGTTTCTACTAAGAACATTAGCTAGAATTATATTAGGTAAAATTTAAAATTTTATTGAAAGAAGTAAGTAAGACCATTCATGATGGCATTTCATAAGAGTGCAGCACATTTGAATTCATCACTGATCTGAACCATTTTAACTTTCTGTATGGTAATCCTGACTTCCTATTTTATCTGTTCTCCTAAAAGTTAAATAGTCAAGTCAGGGATTTTATCTAGAATAATCTGATGGACAAATGAGTGCTAAACTCTTTTTTTCCCCTTTTCATTTTCTACTTCCCATTCTCTTTGCCAGCTGTCCTTTGTCTTTAACATTCATTTTAACATTTCCTGTCTTTATTTTTAAGGACTCTCATCAAATTTCAGGTTTTATCTTCTCCTCTCTTTGCTTTTATTTTAAATGCCTTTGTTTAACACCTCCTTGCTTTTTTGCCCCTAGCTAGGTGATCTACAGCAAAATAGCTAATCTCAGAGTTTCTGTTTATTCAGCTATACCTGCCCTATCATACTCAGCAAGCTGTTATGACAGCCATATAAGATAATGCATAACTGTGTTTAAAACTGTAATATGCTATAAAAATGTGTAATATTAGTATTGCAGCATGAATTATCTACATTAGGTGCCAACTTCCTTTTCACTTCTTGTTATTCTCAATTACATTTCATCATCACCGTCAACACCAAATATTTATTATGCAGCCATGCAAACATTATATGATTAAGAAAGCTGTTTTTAACAAAGTAGACAAAACAGAATTTTCCTTTTGAAAGTTTAGTCTTAACCTTCTTCACAAATCCAAGCTGAATTTTTCAGGAAGTCTTTTCTTGATTCCAGGGAACTAATTCATTCTTGACTCTCGAATCAAGAAGTAGAGGTAATATTTGAAAAACCAAAGCAACAAGATTATATCTAAAAATGACGTGAATCAAGTACTTGATGCAAATCATGAACTTTCTTACATATTTCTTCTTTTAGGATTGTCTCACTATGAATGATATGTTATCAGTGTAATAATGTGTAATACTGACCTTGTGGCCTGGGTGTGTTCTAGATATACGGAATGAAGTAGCTCTCCTCAAACTGGTCACCAACTTTCAGTTTGGTAGTGGCTGTTGTGGGCATTAATATCACAAGAACAGATTTAGTAGGAAAATGAGGGAGATGCTGAGAGAAGGAAGATGTGGTATGTAACAGAACAAGGGACATTTTGACAATAGACAGTAAGCATATCAATAGGATTTTGATCTGCCTTTCCATTTACTTTTCTTTTTCATATGTGCATTATTTTTTTTAAAATGTTTTCCAATCCTCCATTAATGGTACACCCTGTTTTATGATTTGTTCATGGACTGTATGGGGAGCCTGCAACTTTGTCTTTCAAAATGTCTACTCTTTTCGCCCAGTGGTTTATGGCATTACTGACATCATTCTGGGGCAACTATAAGGGAACTGCATCTGTCTTCTCAGTCTTTAAAGGGCAGCTTAATAAGTGCATTCAGCTAAGCTGTGTCTTTCTGTTTAATAGGAATCACCACCGTGCTGACAATGACAACCATCAGCACTCACCTCAGGGAGACCTTGCCAAAGATCCCTTATGTCAAAGCGATTGATATTTACCTGATGGGTTGCTTTGTGTTTGTGTTCCTGGCTCTGCTGGAATATGCCTTTGTAAATTACATCTTCTTTGGAAAAGGCCCTCAGAAAAAGGGAGCTAGCAAACAAGACCAGAGTGCCAATGAGAAGAACAAACTGGAGATGAATAAAGTTCAGGTAATGTATTAAATATTCCCAACAATATTCTTCCAAAATTTATCAGCAGCATGGTGCTCAAGACTCCCATAACAGGGAAAAAAAAAAAAGTAATTTATCTTCAATACGGCTCAAACACCGCTCCCTTTTACATATTTGAGAACTGAGGATTGAAGAAGTTAGGTTGAAGTTAACATAGATTAATAACATACCTGGACCTGAAACTCAACCCCAAGTCCATTATCCTGGGTGGAATTAATTAAAATTAATGCCTTTTTTATTCTTTGAGAACATCTCTTTAGCCTCTACTTTTATGCTATGTTTCACTGAAATCAAATTAAAATTATGTACACTGAAATACTGTATCTACTATAAATTGTTTTCAGGATGGCATAAAGGATAATTATAACTATATAGTTATAAAACTCTATGCAGAAGGATAATGCCAGATTTGCTTGATAAATAAATGAGAGAACTAAAGTGAATCAATTCTGTACTAAGTGGAAATAAAAAAATATGGCCCAGTGGTTACAACCACAGACTGGAATTAAACTGCTTGAGTTTGATTCCCAGCTCTGCTTCTTACTGACTTTATAACGTCAGGCAAATCAACCTATGTGACTCCTCATGTTACTTCTGTTCTCAGGTCATCATCCATAAAACAGAGATTATTATAGTATACCTACCTCACAGAGTTGTTATAAGGACTAGATGAGTTTTTTTAAAGCCTAATATTTATAACAATACCTGGAACATAGTGAGTGCTCATTATCACTGTAGCTAGCTAGCTCTTATCATTATATATAAGACAGTGTCACTATTTTTCTTTTGCTTTTCATTGGTAGATCTTATGACCTGTGCTTTTGCTGGGTGGAATTAACTAAAATTAATGCCTTTTTTATTCTTTGAGAACATCTCTTTAGCCTCTACTTTTATGCTATGTTTCACTGAAATCAAATTAAAATTATGTACATTGAAATACTGTATCTACTATAAATTGTTTTCAAGATGGCACACTGGATGACAACTCAAATATTCACTCGTTTGGCCACTGTTCTGAGCATTGGGAATACTTCTCTGAAGGAGACAAATTTCCTGGCTCTCATAGAGCTTAGATTCTACTGTGGGAAGACAGGCAATAAACATATGTGTTTACACACATATTAAGACGATAATTTCAAGTTGTAGTAAGTGCTATGAAGAAAGTAAAACAGAGCGATGGGTAAGTGAATCATTTGGATTAGATTCAAGGGAACAAGGGACAAAGAGCAGGTGATCAGGAAGGCCTCTCTGAGACGTTACCACTCGATCTGAGACCTAAGTGATGAGCAGCAGTAACCATGCCATGACCATTTCAGGCAGAGGAAATGACAAGTGACAGAGACTCTGAGGAAGGAATTTCTTGATGTGGGAAAGTACCAAGAGAAGACTAGTGTAGCAAGGGCATAGCAAGTGAGGGAGGAAATGTAGTATGAGAGGTGGTTGGAGAATCAGGCAGAAGCCAAACTATAAATCTTCAAGATGTATCTTCATGCTTTTTAGTGGGATACCAAAACTGGACAAACACTGTCAGGTAACTAGAAAATTATAGGCAAAATACCAAACAGATTCAGCCAAATGGTCAAAATCTGAAGTAACTCTTTCAAATAAATTTTTACTCTTATGTGAAATATTATGCTGGATTCTATGGGAGAAGGAGGAAGCGTGATACTTGCCCTCAAGAATCTCCTGATCTTTCTGGGAAAGAAAATTATACTCATAGGAGGCAATTAGATCATAAAATGAAACAGGACAGCACCTACCTTGAGGAGCATATCTGAAAGGAAAAGGCTTCCCATTGTCTGACTGTAACCATACCAGCCTTAAAAGTATGTTTAGCAGAAGTTTTTAAGACTCCTCATTTCTGTTTCCATTCCTAGCTCAGTTGCCTTCTAAACCAAAGCTGGTCCTCTGCATGGCTTGGAATGTGTGTTAATTGATATATCATGGAGGAAAGGCCTACATCAATAAAATAGCATAGGTTCACTGGTAGGAAAATCCAAAGATATGAACTGGATGGGCACTCAAAGCAAGAGAATTTGGAAAGGTAACAAGGAGAAAAGAAGGTCTTTCAATCAGCTAGGAAAGCAATGTTCTCGAGAAAGGTGATTAAATGGAAAGCTCAAGCAAACTGAAATCAATTCATTCAGATCATTTAAAAAGAGCATAAAACAAACTTTAACCAAACTCTTTGGCTATTGCCTTAATTCTACCCCAGGATATCAAAGAACTTTTCTAAGGTGCTATGGGACAAATAAAGGCAAAAGGAAAGCCTTGTATGTCATATCATACCTAGATGTATAATATATATTGCTCTGAAGAAGACTTAATGACTGGAAAATAAATGAGTAAAATGTGTCTGTCTAACTGATCTTTATTTCATAAGCAGGATGTTTGAGTAACATTGGGCTCAAACATAGTAAGATTTCACTAGATCTCAAATCAGGAAACTTTTAGTCCAGAAGAACTGGTATTTTAAATTTTAATCCCAGTAGAAAGCGTAGAAAAATCCAACAATTGTCAGGAGATGAAACACTTAAAGAAGATAAAAATGCGTTTTTATCCATGGAAAGCTAGACTAAAAACTCCACAACTGCTTTTCACAGAAACACAAATAGACCAAATTATGCCAAAGTTAATAAACAAATCATGTTAAGATATGAAAAAGTAGTATATATTGGTCTAACCCTCCTGTGGATTAAAAATTATAAACCTTGAGCAAAAATTCATTAAAATCCGCTTGAAGAGATAAGAGAGTAACTGAAAACAAGCAAAAACTAAAAGAGAATCAACCCCCAAAGGAAGGGAATGACACTGTGTGAAATCTCTATTTATACATCTTTGACCTGAGGCCTCTCCCCAATCTGGGGGATGTGGGACAGCAGCACTTCAGAAAAAAACAAAACAAAACAAAAATACAAAAAACTACAGTTTTATTGGTCTGTTGAGTCAGAACACGGAGTTTGATACTTCCAGAGTTCCTAAAAATCTTGGAAAGAAGTGAGCCACAAGAGAAATTCAGAATGAATATAAACTTCCCACAAATCCGTGGTTGATCCCTGAACTACAAATGTACAAAACGCTAAGAAGTCTGGAAAGGAAAAATAGCTGAAAGTCTGAAAAAGAACAAAAATAAGGGATTCTCTTTGAGTTAAGGAAAAACTAAAGTAGACTCACCCTAACTACACATAAAACCAAGTCACTACACATTCCAGGTGACCTATTAGTAATTTAACTGCCCATTAAAACAAAACCCAACATTTGTCAGGGAAAATAACAGAATCTAGAATCTCTGTAGTGCATCTTCAACATAGTTAATATGTAACTAAAAATTGCTAGGCATGAGAAAAAAACAGGAAAACATTCTCAAGAGAAAAAAATTAGTCATTAGAAACAGAATTTCAAAGTCTCAATGTTGGCTTAAAAGATAAGGACCACAATTAATAATAATAACTATAATTAATATATTTAGAAGTTCATTGGAAATAGCCAAAAACTGAAAATAACTGAAATATTCTATGATAGGCAAATGGTTAAATAAACTGTAGTATATTCATAATGTGGAAGACTAGCCCAGTAAATAGTAATGTACTATTGATACATACAACAACTTGAATGGATCTCAAGGCCATTATGCTGAGTGAAAAAAAAAAAGCCCATCATAAAATATTACACACTGTATGATTCCACTTATATAATATGCCTGAAATAACAAAATTATAGAGACTGAAGAACAGGTTAGTGGTTGCCAGGAGTTAGTGATGGAGAGGAGGATTGATTGTGATTGATTATAGCACACAGCAGATCTTTGCAGTGATGGAATAGTTCTGTATCTTGCAGTGGTGGTTATGTGAATCTCCACATGTGATAGAATTACATAGGACTAGACACACTTTACACCAATATCCGTTTCCTGGGTAATATTGTACAATAGTTAAATAAGATACAGTCAATGAGAGAAACTGGGTGAAGGGTATATGGGACATCTTTGTGCTATCTTTGCAACTTTCTAGGAATCTACAGTAATTTTTTTTTAAGATTTTATTTATTTATTTGACAGAGAGAGACACAGCGAGAGAGGGAACACAAGCAGGGGGAGTGCGAGAGGAAGAAGCAGGCTTCCTGCCAAGCAGGGAGCCCGATGTGGGGCTCCATCACAGGGCCCTGGGACCATAACCCAAGCCGAAGGCAGACGCTTAATGACTGAGCCACTCAGGCACCCCAGAAACTACAATAATTTCAAAATAAAAAGTTTAAAATAAAGTCCATAGGAAGAGATTAATATAATATATGAAGAGATGCGGAGTTTCAGAAAAAGATTTGAAACTATGGAAAAGAACCAATGGAAATCACAGAATTGAAAAATGCATTAGATGGATTAGCATCAGATTTTATATAACAGAAGAAAGGATTAAAAAACAAGAAGAATAGGGCGCCTGGGTAGCTCAGTGTGTTAAGCATCTGACTCTTGATTTTGGCTCAAGTCATGATCTCAGGGTCATGAGAACAAGTCCCATTCTGGGCTCTGCGCTGAGCATGGAACCTTCTTAAGATTTTCTCTCTCTCCCTCTGTCCCTACACCCACCACATGTGCATACTCTCTCTCCCTCTCTAAAAAAAAAAGAAGAAGAAGAAGAAGAAGAAAGGATTAGTGGAAGTAAAGGTAATATTGACCATCTCTCAAGTTTTTCATTGCACTAGTTCTTGTCATAAATGTTACTACCTCAAGGATGCCTTAACTGACCAGCCCCCCCCGTTAGTTTATATTTTGTACCATTGTTCTTTGTCCTCACCACATCCTGTGCTTTTCCACCATAGGATTTACCACAATAGTGAATACATGTTTACTTAATTATTTTTTAATGTCTATCTCTCTATTGAACTGCAAGTTTCCCAAGGATTAGCATCGAGGTCCTAGTCTATTATGTTTATTGCTCTTTACTCAGTGGCTAGAACAGAGAAAAAAACAAATATTTGTTGAA